AAAAAAAAAAAAAAAGATTTACCTCCCCAGGAACACAGTGGGGGTCGCTATCAGTTGGAATCGACTTGATGCAGTGCGTCTGGTTTGGTTTTTATCTTGATATTTTGGCCTTTATTTCCTTCAGCATTTTGGAATTTAGGGAAATAGATTTAATGTTTATACGAGGAAACAGGTAAGACTGGACACAGCAGAGCTGGGCCTTAGAATTTTATTCCCCAAATCAAGAAATTATTTCTCTTATTTTTGATTGTTCCCAGGCCTATATTACTGACTGGAAACCCTGGCAACCCCAAATGGCTGTATCCTTAGCATGAGAACTCATTTTTTTCTCTTTCAATTTGACTTTCCTGGGGCTACCAGAAGCTGATGAGACAAGACAGGCTCTCTTCCCTTGGAGCCTTTGGAGAGAGTATGGTTCTATCAACAGCCTGAACTCACGCTTCTAGACTTCAGAACTGTGAAAGAATAAATTTGTGTCATTTAAGGAGAAAATGGCAGAGATTATTACCTTGCTTTATAAATGGATCAGAAGAAAAGATTTTTTTCTTTTTTTGAAATCCTAGAAATATTATGGATACTGGTTGCTGTTGTTAGCTGCTATTGATTCAACCCCAACTCATGGAGAACCCATGCACAATGAAACAAAATGCTGCCCATTCCTGCACCACCCCCATGACCCATTGTGGATCAAACCACTGTGATCCATAGCGTCCTCACTGGCTGATTTTCAGAAGTATACCAATTAGGAGGCCTTTCCTCCTAATCTGTCTTAGTGTGGAAGCTCTGCTGAAACCTTTCCAGCAACACAAGCCTTCACTGATAGATAGGTGGTGTCTGCACATGAGGTGCATGCCCAGGAATCAGATCTGAGGCTCCTCCATGGAAGGTGACAATGCTACCACTCAACCATTCAACCACCAGTGTCCTCCATGGATACTGGTCCACACATTGAAGGGTTTTCTGGCTATGCACCGCCTTGGTAAATGAGGAAGTCTCAGACTATAAATTTAGATTTCCACATTGGTGCAAAAAAGGGGAAGACCCTAAATGAGATGGATTGGGACTGTGGATGCAACGATAGGCTCAGGTACAATAAGACTTGTGAGGATGGCGCACAACAGGGCAGTGTTTCATTCTATTGTAAATAGGGTCACTATGAGTCAGACCCGACTTGATGGCACCTAACAACAACAACAACATTGGTGCCTGTAAGAAGTAAATTAGAAGTCTCTCTACGGGAACTGACTCAAATAACAATTATAAGTAATTAACACATTTTTTTTTAAGGGCAGCAAATAGTATACAACCAAAGATTAAACAAACTGACAAGAAGGAAAAGGAATCATGAGCAACCCACGTGAATAAATGGATGGTGTAACCACTGACCCAGAATTCTATTTTGGACTTCCATTTACTGTTAGGATATAAAAGAATGACAAAAATCTTAACCCTTATGCTTAATGTTAGATAATAAATATTAGAAATAAAATTATAATTTTCTATGGGACTACCAAAGAGTGGGAGGTCTGCTGGCATAATGCCTAAGGCATTTGACTGCTAACTCCTTGGAAGGAAAATTGGGCAGTATCTCTACCTTCACAGAGACACTGCCTCAGAAACCCAAGGAGGGGTCACTGTGAATTGAATCGGCTTGACGGCAGTGAGTTAGGTTTTGGTTTACCAAAGAGTGGTGGGTGCAAGGAATTCTTAGTTAACTGAATTCAAGAGCGAAATAAGCCCTTCAGAGGAAAATGGAGAGCTGCGGTAGTTTCTGTGCCTGGGGGAAGATGCCTGGTCTAGGAATGGGTGGACAGAGGAACAGGTCTGTTATTGAGAAAATCAGCCAAGACCTAGATGACACTGGGGGCTGGCAGGATAGGGACTAGCAGCAAAGCAAGGATGTCTACTCTCACCCTTCCCATTCAAACTTGTACTTGAAGCTCTAACCAGTACTGAAGAAATATGATTGTCCCAATTCACAGATGACATGATTGACTAGATAGATAATTTCAACAAATCTTTTTTTTTTTTTTTAAAAAAAAAGAAACTTCTTTAAATAAGAAATTGGTATAGCAAGGTCATGGGCTATAAAGTCAACAGAGTTAAATCATATTATAAATAATACTGTTATTATTTAGTTTCAGTCTTTAATTATTCTTTACTAGTGTATACATATATGGCCAAATGTTTTTCCTTTGTGTGTGTGTGTGTGACCAATATGTAACAACAATTCATAGAAGGAAGAATAGTCTTTTCAATAAATAATGTTGAAACAATTGGACATCCATATGCACAAAAATAATCTCCAAATAAACCTCACACTTTATACAAAAATTAACTCAAAATAGATAATATACCTAAATGCAACATGTAAAACCATATAACTTTTAGAAGCCAACGGAGGAGAAAATCCCTGTAACCTATAGTTAGGCAATGATTTGTTAGATATGATGTAATAGGTATGTTCAGATCTTTTGCCTATTGTTAATTAGATTGTTGAGTTTGGAAAGTATATATGCTAGATTTAAGTCTTGTGTTGGATATCTGAATAGAAAATATTTGAAACTGAAAATATTTTCTTCTAGTCAGTAGCTTGTCCTTTTGTCCTCTTAACAGGGTCTTTCACAGAAGAAAAGGTTTTAACTGTCATGAAATCAGCTTTGTCCATTACTTTCAATCTGCTGTTGTTGCTGTTAGGTGCTGTTGAGTCAGCTCCACTCATAGTGACCCCGTGTACAACACAACGAAACAGTGCCGGATCCCGTGCCAGCCTCACAATACTCACTATACCTGAGCCCACTGTATCAATCCATCTCATTTAATAATATATTAAATATATATTATTTTTGATATGTTGTTGTTGTTATGTACCATCCAGTCAGACCCGACTCATAGCGAACCCTCCTTCAGTTTCTGAGGGGGTATCACTATGGAAGTAGATTGCCCAACCTTCCTTCCGAGGATTGGCTGGTGGGTTTGAACCGCCAGCCTTCTGGTTAGCAGTCAACTGTCTTAGGCACTGTGCTACCAGTCTGGGTTCCCAATTCTTTTCCATTGGTCTATGTGTTTGTCACTGCACCAATATCAGGCTGATGAAGACACAGAGAAACGATCTGTCATTCATTGCAGGTGGGAATGCAGAATGGTACAGCCAGTGTAGAAAACAATTGACAGTAGTTTATAAAGTTAAATACAGTGTATACTTAACCATATGGCTCAGCAATCATACTCCTTGGTATTTACCCTGGAGAAATGAAAACTTATGTTCACCCAGCAACCTGTACGTGAAAGTTCGTAGAAGCTTTACTCATAATCACCAAAGCTAGAAACAAGCTGACTTAGTGTCTTTGTGCTGCTCTAACAGAAATATCCTAAGTGAAAGTCTTCAATGAACAGAATTTATTCTCTCACAGTTTAGAAGGCCAGAAGTCTGAGTTCATGGCACTGGTTCTAAGGGAAGACTCTCTGTGTCTGCTCTGGAAGACAGTCCTTGTCTCAGTTTCTCTAGCATTCTTCTCAGCATTCTGAGTTCCTTGGAGATCTCCAAGTGACGTCTATCTTTTCTCCTCCCTTTTAAAACAATATTGTGTTGTTTGGTGAAAATTTACACAGTAAATTAGGTTCTCATTTAACAATTTCTACACATATTGTTCTGTGACATTTTTGGTAACATTTTTCACACTGCTCCATTGTTCTCATTATTTCCATTCTACTTGTTTTGTTTCCATTATACCTGCTTTTCTGACTTCCACCACCTGACCTTCTCATCTTTGCTTTAGCATGTAAGTTGGCCATTTGATCGCAAATAGATTTTTTTAAAAAATAAATAAATGGAGAACAGCATTCATGGGTGACATTGTTTATTTTATGAGTCAATCTGTTATTTAAACAGTGAGATGCCACTCATGTTACTTAGTTGAAAGG